GCTATCACATGAGCTGTTCCCTCATTAATGACTGACCGGATGCACCACAGAATGCGAGCTTTGAAGGACTGTTCACAGGCCCTGTAAATATCAAGCAGGCACTTCAAGTGTTCTGTCCCATAAATACTTTTAACAGTAGGCAAAGGACATCGTGGGAATTCACAAAGGTGGTTTCAATAGGCGTTCTAAGTCAGAGTCCAACAAGTAAGGCTTAAACCTTCTCAAAAAGTCAGAGAAGGGATTGCAGCAATATGCAAAAGGATTAAATGAATGACACCGATCAGATCTGGGAACACTGAATTCCATTCCCTGCGGTAATCAAGCACCAAGCATAAACTGACATGATGGTATTTCATACATTTGACCACACCTGCACATTGGAGGAGGAGGTGTAGGAGGGGCACAGGGACAACTTGATCTACTCTGGCCATTAGTACCTAGCCCAAGCTTTGGCTTCCTAGTCACATCTGTGTACCCAGGTGCATGCGTCTGTGTATAAACTTCCCCATGCCCAAACTAGATTTTTAGCTTCTCCAGGATATTTTGTTTTGTTTTTTCTCAAAATCTCTTAGTAAATCCACAGTGAGCAGATACTCAAAAAATATTTGGGGATAATGACAATATATTCAACTACTTATTAAATTTATTCAGTAAGCAAATGAGTACCAGGTACCCACTAAGTTCAAGGCACAGAGTTAGGTGCTGTGCAAGATTTTTCAAAAAGGAATTTGTCCTAAATCCTACCCTTAATCAGCTTATAGTTTTAAATAAGCCAGATTCTATTTGGTTTGTGCCAAGGAGAAACTCAGCTAAAGTTAAAGACATCTAGGAGGAGCCCCTTCTTTCCAGAATCATCATCTTCTCGAGCACTCATTCTGAAAGTTCCAGTAACTCTTAATTATTACTTTTGCAGTTCCTTGGTTCTAAACTCATGGGAGATGAACAGAATGTGAAGATAGAACTGAACAGTAAAACAGACATGGCATTGTAGGGATTGTGGGGAATTAAGAAGGAAACCTATATCTGACCTTTTAGAACAGAGTAGGTATCTACAAAAGATGTTGCTAAAAGTCTTGGTTTATTTCTGACACCATCCCCCCCTCCCACTCCAAGGCCCCTGGCTTTTGACCTCTTGAATATGTGTACTCATTACAGATATGACAAGCTTTAACTGAAGGGTAGTAATGGTTACCTTTCACTGAGTCCTTACTATGAACCAGGCATTATGCTATTTTGAATGCATATTCTCATTTCAACACTCATGAGCTAGGTTCTTTTAGTACTTCTGTTTTACTGATAAGAAAACTGAGATGGAGCATTAGCTTACTCAGTCACCCAGCTACTATTTAATCTGAACTCAGGTCTGTTTGACTTCAGAGGCAGAGTTTTTAACCACTATATTATCCCAATTCTGAGTTTCAGAGATTCTGCTATTTTATCTCTGGGCTTCAGATAATTCCTTCAAAATTCCCATCTAATGCTCTAATTGGACAAAGATTTGTTTTCTTTTACAGTTGAGTCTTAAGGGAGTACAAGAAAAGAAAGCAAAAATTCCACAGGAAAAACAGACTAGTTGGACAGGGAAGAAACAGCTGCATCCACTTTAGGTAAAGTTACATGGCCTAGTTTACAATTTTGGATGAAATAGCATGTTACCATTTGTCTATTCATTCTCCATGGTTTACTAGGGAAATACCATTCGTTTCCCATTACTTTTCTCAAGGGCTGCGATAAAAAGAATATTATTCTTCCCTGCACACATATATGCTAGAAAACAAACAAACAAAAACCTAAACCTTTCAGAACTCATCTTCATAACCTGGAGTAATGAAAAAGAGGGGACCCTCTCTTGACCAACATAACACCACAGAGTAGAAAAGTTATCTAATGGATGTAAATATCTAGATCTGGAAACTTCATTTATTGCCTTTAGGGATTATATGTTTTTAAGGAAGAGAGAAAATCATTTTCTCTTTAATAACTTCATCTGAGATTGACAAAAGGCTCGTTGGGGAAACTGAGTAGGCTAATGTTTCTTCAGTTGAGCTTGTCTAAAAGAAAGCTGCTTCTACTTCTTTTTCTTTGAACTAAATAGAAATTTGAAAGGTAGGAATTTATTACTTTATCTCCCCGATATTAATACTTTCTTCCTTAGAATGCACATGATCTCCCCAAAATGACAACTTGAATCCTTGATATAGCACCAAGTGATTTGGGGTTAAAGGTGAATTTGGTGGCTGACGCCTGTAATCCTAGCACTCTGGGAGGCCGCGGCAGGCGGATTGCTCCAGGTCAGGAGTTCGAAACCAGCCTGAGCAAGAGCGAGACCCCCGTCTCTACCATAAATAGAAAGAAATTAATTGGCCATTTGATATATATAGAAAAAACTAGCCAGGCATGGTGGCTCATGCCTGTAGTCCCAGCTACTCGGTTGACTGAGGCGGCAGGATCGCTTGAGCCCAGGAGTTTGAGGTTGCTGTGAGCTAGGCTGACACCACGGCACTCACTCTAGCCTGGACAACAAAGCGAGACTCTGTCTCAAAAAAAATAAAGAAAAAAAAAAAGTGAATTTGGCTAGTATCTCCATGCCTTTGGCCGAAAAATCCAGGCTCAATCCTGGGTGCTTTTTGGAATGGAAAGTGCACAATATCTGGATTGCAAGCAGCTCCAGAAAGGCATGCCAGGCCTCTCATTCTCTCAATATATATTTGCATGTGAACAGCTTGTCGGCCATTTTATGAAGACAGATGCATCGCAGGCCTGCTAGAGGGGCAGCCAGACCTAAATACGTGAACCACACACCCCTGCAGCCCACAAATTTTTAAAAATGAAAATAAAATGAATATCTCTGGATATATCTTCAGGGTGATTATATACAAATATAATATATGAAAAAATGAAACATTTAAGACTATAAGTCACCCATAAGTCAAGTGGAAAATAAAGAATGAAACAAGTCTATAAATATCACTCTTCAAAATGTCAACAAAAAATAAGATGTAGCTGTTTATGACACTAAAAACAAATCTTCAGAGATCTCTCTCTCTCTCTTTTTTTTTTTTACTGGCTGCTTTAAAAAGACAACTTTGATAAAGAAAATATCACCGAAATACCAGGATGAGGAGAGGAATGGCCAGACGGTCCATAGTTACTGCTAGAGCCCAGCAGTGTAATAAAGTAGCGGTCCCCAACCTTTTTGGCACCTGGGACTGGTTTTATGGAAGACAATTTTTCCATGGACGGGGGTGAGAGGATGATGGTTTTGGGATGATCCAAGTGAGTTACATTTATTGTGCAGTCAAACCTCTCTGCTAAGGATAATCTGTATTTGCAGCCACTCCCCGGCACTAGCATCACCGCTTCAGCTCCACCTCAGACCATCCTAGATCCCTCGTATGTGCAGTTTACAGCAAGGTTCAATTTCCTACGAGAATCTCATGCCGCAGCTGATCTGACAGGAGGCGGAGCTTATGCAGTGATGTGAGCAATGGGGAGCGGCTGTAAATACAGATGAAGCTTCACTTACTTTCCTGCCACTAACACCCTGCTGTGCGGCCCAGTTCCTAACAGGCCGCGGACCAGTACTGGTCCTTGGCCCAGGGATTGGGGACTGCAGTAATAAAGAGTTTCCTAGGCTTAGGAAATGAAACAAACTCTGAAAACTTACTGATAGGATGTCTAATGTAATAAACTCAATCCTCCATCCCATGACAACAACATAATTCAGTTTATCTATCATTTCAAAAAGACAAGATGATCGAAATAGAACAATATAAAAAAAGGTACAGAACAACAAAAGGAAGAGAGACCCAAGGAATGAGGTCATTCAAAGTAAGTGGAAAAGTGTGGTAGGATTATATTGCCAAGAAAAATAGTAAGAGTAATGTTGAACCACAGCCAACATTTTTTTTTTAGTCTATACTCTATGAAAGGTATTATAAGCACATTATACCTATTATCTTATTTAATTCTTCAACAGGTAAGTAATATTACTACTCTATTTTAGAGGAATAAATAAATACCCTGAGAGGTTAAATAATGTATTCAAGATTACAGAGGTAAGAAATAGTAGAGGCAGAATTTGAATGCAGGTCGGACACCACAGCCTGAACTTTTAACTACATCCCCCCTGACAGGCCCCTCAGAATATGGCATTCCCTTTGTAGCCTTCAGGTCTAACACCAGGAAATACTTCGGAATTTTTTGAGATAACATCTGTGAAAGTACCTAACACAATGTTTAGTGTATTACAGGTGCTGCCAATCCACGTCTCTATTTTTATTGAAACATGGTTTTACTCAATCCTAAAGTCCAACCCATGACAATCTTTTTCATATTTGCAATAAATACCACAAACTTACTATTTTATCAGATATTATATTCAGATATAATGTATATGTTCTAGTTTAATTAAGTTTCAGTAACAAAATGTATGTATCGATGCAATGGAGGAATTTAATACTGTATAGTTTTAGACAATTTAAAGTGAAAACATCCTCAAAGGCAGGGATTTCTTAAAGCAGTTATCAGCAAAGGGTTGAGCTCCCAAAAGGCCTCAAAAATACTTGTGAATGAATGATCTTAAATCACTAATGAAAAAAATCATGGGGGCATTTGCCACTTTAAAAGGAACTAAAATGAGATGAAAAGGCCATGGTTCTTCGCTTAATGCTGTAAAAGAATCTGATTTGTTAAGTCATCCCCACATCTCATAGTTTAATTGGGTAATCAACTTTCTTGGGAATTAAGGTTCTCATGAGCACCCTGATAGTGTTCAGGGGTCAAGGAGAGGGGAGTGTTGAAGCTGCTAGGATGACCCAGAGGACAAAGAAGTTGCCCTGTTGCAAGAAACTGACTTGAGTTTTCTCCTTGAATTCTCAATGTCGCTCCTACTGTGGGCTGCCTGCAGGGCAGACCCTGAAACCCTGGTACTTGGTTGGCTGCTTGCTGGCTGCTGTGGCCTCTGAATGCAGCAGCTAGAAGTCCCAAGCTAAACTTACCATTTTCTGGCTGGTCCTTAATGTCAGCGTCACTTGGCTGGCTGGGACTTTCAGATTGACTTGAATCTGAAAAACATAAAACATACAGCCAAAAATTACAGGGTCTGTGAGGGAAAGTGGATCAGAGGTGCCAGACTTTCTGAAAAGGTTCAACCTATAAACTAAGAATGAGAATGTTACAGAAATGACATGACAAATGGAAAAAGAAGAGATGGAAAGAGAAAAGAAGTGGGGGGGGGCGCGCACAGAACGCAGCCTGTGCCTTTAGAGAGGACGCTGGGTTTTGTTTACACCTCCAGCGGCGTTTGCTTTGTGCCAGATCAAAACCTGAAGCTCTTCAGAAACCATTCTCTTATAGAGAGGCCATTTCCAAACTGCTCTTCTCCACTATTTATACACTAGAGTCTGATAAAGACTTCATCCTTCATTACACACATCTGAAGCTTGATTCGGAACATAATAAAGTGTCAAAACATATTTTGAAGCTGGTATATAAAAGCAACCCAAACAACAGTAACAAGTTCTGTTGATATTTAGCTCTGTATTCCAGCAACAGACTACGCAGACTAACACCATTAAATACTAGAGTCCTAATATTCTAGCACATTTTCTTGAAATAACTGGATAACTCAAAGAGGTCTTTCTGAAGGTACAAGTTTCCCCTAATTTATAAGTATTATTTTTCTCTTATACTGATGCATTTGGGAGGGGGCCTGTCAGCAAAAACAGGTTCTTGCATACCTTTATAGAATTAAACTTATTTTTATCTTAAAAAGCATAATTAAATTTTAAAACTAAAAATAATAAATTCAATTCATTTCTAAGTGAAATAATTTTTTAAAAAGTAACTTTTAATGTTACAATTAGATAAAAATCAACTTAGATGAAAAGAATTTCAGAGAATTAGAAGCAAACATTTATATTTATCATATATTTTGGGGGGAGAAGTGAGAAAAATCAGGCAAAATGTTTCCAGGGAAAAATTTGTGCTCTAAAGCATTTTCTGAGACTCGAAGTAGTTTACAAGATTATTTAAAAGCAGGCCAACAAAAAAAATTTTTTACAAAAACCTCAATATCTGTGAAAAGCTCAGATCCTAACTTGACCTTGACTTTAGAGATTTAGAATTCGTTGCCTCAGGTGGTGGCTCATGCCAGTAATCCTAGCATTCTGGGAGGCCAAGCCGAGAAGATCCCTTGAGGCCAGGAGTTTGAGACCAGTCTGAGCAACAGTGAAACCCCATCTTTAGGCTAATTTCAAAAGTAGCCAGGGGTGGTGGCACCCGCCTGTAGTAGCTAGCTACTCGGGAGGCTGGAGCAGGAGTATTGCTTGAGCCCAGGAGTTTGAGGCTGCAGTAAGGATTGTACTTCAGCCCAGGAGACTGAAACCCTGTCTCAGAAATAAATAAATAAATAAATAAAATGAAATAAAAAAATACAAAATAGAATTAGCTATCTGAAATTTGACCATATTTCTGCAAAAAGTTCAATGCAAGGTCAAAAGATCATGATACTTAACTGTGATTAAATTGAAAATATTAATTCTATTGCAATGGAGTTATAGCATCACATTCTCTTTCTTGGAGATATTGCAGAAAGAAGTAGCACTACTAGTGACCTTAGGTCTAGAAATGCTAATTTATTACTTAAAAAGACTGCCTGCTTTTAAGCAAATGAAGATTTTAATTATAGGAAAGTGCTATAAAGAAAATGTTTATTTTAAATTTTTAAAAGAATATTAACCTGGTGACCAGCAAAAATTCTATGTTGATTCAAAGGCTCGAATAACAAAGATGCAAAAAGGTGAATTTTCATTTACTGGCAAAGTGATAGCTTTTATTGCTTTTTATAACAATTGCCATAGAGAAGACACAAATAAAAAGAATTATTATATGTCAAAAACCTTAGAGAATCCTCCAGAATAAACTACAAAATTAAATACAAAGGCTGCGCTAATAATTGGAAATGCAAACAAATTTATATTTGACCATATTTCAAATTTTAACTACATAAATTACTATTACATTTATAGCAAACAATTTAAAAATATAGCATAACTACTTTCTTTTTTTGTAAGGAAAGAGCTTGTAATTTTGCCATTAGAAATTACAAATTAAATATTTTGAAAAGTAATTCAACATGTATTAGGAGAAAGATACCTCTATTATTTTTGTTATGAAAAATATTAAACCACTAATATCTGCAACTAAAATGAAAGGACAATATCTAATTTTGTTTTAGGAGAAGTTAAAATTCTTTTTGATCATGTCCTAAAACATATACATAAAATTTTGCCAAAGATAACATTTCTTTTGAAATAATACAAACGTAAGTCTCTACATGATAGCTTAAGCCGATATTCTACTTCTAGGTGTAATATCTTTACAATTAACTACTTTCTCATGAATAAATGAAGATATTTTTATTTCAATTAATTTAGATATATAATAGCCACTTTTTAATATTTATCCATTAATATTAAGATAAAAAGGGATAAGGAGAGACCCCAAAATATATTTTTTTGTAATCTGAAAGTGGACTTTTTTGTTCTTTCTACTTTTCGTTTACATTTGGTTTGTCACCCTATCTTTACAGAAATCTAACATAATTATAGAAAACATGAACAGCAATAAAAGATGAATATTAGGTATCTTCAAAGAAAATTTAAAATTCCAAGCCCCAGAAAAAGAAGCAAACCAACAGCAAAGGACTGAGTAGCAAGAAAATCCTCAGAGTTGGTCTGCAAGGGGCCGCGGCGTTCTTGTGAAAGCTCAGATACAAACACTGGAGGAGGCATGTAGCCAAACTGAAAGCGGAATTTAATTTCTCTAGTTTTATTCAAAAGCTGGAGACAGTGCTATCCATCCAAGGACTGCGTACTAAAATACACCACCCTGGTAAGGGATAGGCAAAGCCAAAGATGTACAAGAAAATGTAAATGATCTAAAAACTTCAATAATTATTTTCTATGCTGGGCCATTTAATATCCTTTCCTTTTTGAGCTAAGAAGGAGCAAAACTGCCCAGTACTAGTGCTACTCTATGCTAAAGACGCATGGACACTTTTACTGGTATTGCAAAAGGTTATCGATGCTGTTAAGTATGGAGCCAACTAGATAACCACAATTATAAATTAATTTCTACCCATACATAATTGATACAAATGAAAGATCTCCTTCTTAAACATTTGCATTAAAACACTATAAAGAAGGCTAACAATTAATTTACTTTTCTCCTTTGCATACTCGGTAAAGACCTGTCAGAAGCCAAAGGTAACTTTATTTCTTACTTTTTTTTGACAATTATCACATGGTGCATCAATTCCTACCACCTGTAATAATTAGAGGGCTCAGAAAACAAACTCTACTGCATAGAATTGGATGCCCTTCTTGTCTCTGAGCCCCCCATGGCAGTGAGTTTCTCCGGTTCCCTGACTGAAAGCCAGAAGATTTGTATATTACAATGACAAGAATATTACTTCAAGGGTGTTTAAAGGGTGGGGTTGGGAATGCTATTGTGAGGAAGTATATTAGGGTTATCATATTTTTTTCCCCATATAGGGATTTGCTTTTTAAGGAAGCTTAACTTCAACCTAACCTTGAAAAGTAATGTTTCTTTTGGTTTTTAAAAAATTTATGAGCAGAAATTTAAACCTAAAACAAGGTTTGCATATAGGAGGCTGGGTTAAGACCTCTTAATTGAACTGGTAGCCATCCATCTATGCATTTTTATGGCGCCTACAGCTATATTGCTGGAGTACTCAGACAAAGATAGTTCACTATCAATATAATCACTAGGGAAAGGAATAAAATATATCTTACTGCCTACATATTAGTCTCTGCTTCCATAAGATTGTACAATACAAGAACAGAAACCTTGCACTGGATTTGCTACATATACACATATCTAGTTTCCCCAACCTCAATTCTGCTCCCCTTCAGAATAAAAGCTCAGAGAGTACTCCTTTGGGGAAGGCAAGCAATGACAAAAACACATTAATACGGCAAAACTGATCAGACAAAAATATATACATCACTTCCACATATTCTATGTTCTTTACATAAGAAGCAAAGAAGCAAAAATAATCTTCCTTGTCCTTGACCTAGAATTAAAAGCACTTTTACCCCTCCAGTCTGTCTTTCATTGCACATATACCTCTTATGGTGTGATGAATATTATGCTGCACTAAGGTGATTTTAAATTATCTCCTATAAGGATTTAAGCTCCTAAAGAAAAGAGTTCGTTTCCACTCTTCTCTTATCCCCAGTTCTTTCCTCAGGGAACCTGGCCTAGCCAAGGAGTTCAGTAACTGCTGAACCGAAGAGTTGAATTTTCAATTGTTTGTCTTTCTACCACGGAACCACTATCAGTGACCGCACAATACACTCAGCTCACACCTAAAAAAAAGAGTGGGATTTCTAAGCTGAGAAATGGGATCAGAAAAGTCCTTTATCTCTGCTCAATATCCCTCATCTTGGTGCCTGGCAAGGGAAAACAAGGCAGACCCCTCGGGTTTGTGGATGACTTGGAAATCTTCACAGTGTTCAGAAATTGCAAACAATCACCTCCTATGATTCCCTGGCCCACAGACCACAGAGGCTGAGCTGAGCACAGTGTCCGACACATAGGAGGCCTTCCAGAAACATACACTGGCTAACATGATGAATGATGGTAGAGGAATATTTTACACATTCAAAAAATACAAAGATTAGACAAATCCACCATATTCTGATGTCCTCAGACTGCCTCAAAATCCCAACAACTGCCGTTGTGAATAGCTTGATAAAGAAAAAGCAGACACCATGCGGTAGTGAAGAACCTTTCCAACCCTAAAACAAACCAATGTGATTCCTATTCAGTCAACATGATATCAACAAAAGCCCGTGGACCATAAAAGTACAAATTCTGTTCCAACAGAAAAATAATTTAGCCTAAATTTCAACCTCCCTATGTGCATAATGATTTGCCTAAAGATGAAGTTTAAAAAGCCTCTGTTAGAATTTTGTGTCCAGTTTTAATTCTCCCAAATTAAAAGACAATATGAAGAAACCGGAAGGCATCCAAAACC